TAAGGTAGTAAGTATGGTCCTCATCAATGCAGTCAAAATCGGGATTTTGATCGTAAAATCGTAGGATTTTAGGATTTTACTTAGGGATTCCGATCCATATTTTACTATAAAATCGGTGGACCTTAAAATCGTTTAAAATCGGGATTAAAATCGTTAAAATCGTAAAATTGTACCAAAATCGGGATTTTGAACCTATGTGAACAAAATAGGGAGCTTGAGCCAATTCAAAAGAAGCAGATCTGTTTCGAAGTGGAAAGGGCAATGACGGGGATCTTCTCATATATTTTTTCTATTAAAAGAACATTTGAAAAGAAGAAAAAAATAATTATGGTTCGGTCAACCCCTTTCCCTTCTCCTTGTTTAACTCATCGGTAAAACAATTGTCATAATATTGTAAGTGCGTAAGAATTAACATCATTATTAAAAAATTATTTGATTAATGAATATATTTTTACCATACCAATGACATTAATTATTTTATTGGATTTCAGTTATTCTTAGTTTTAAATCATGCTTAGTAGACGATGTCGGAATACTACTTTGAGTTAAACTACCTAGATAAAACATGAAAAACAAGATCCAAACGCCATGAGCTCTATCCCTTCCTCATAAATTATTTTGAGTTACGCATTAAATAACAATTAAAAGATGTTTTTGGAACATTAATCTTGAAAATTATCACTTTAAATGTTAAAAGGGTTTGTGTTATTTATTATTTACCTTATTAATATTATTATATGTTAATTTCTATATGGTACTTAAAATCCTACGATTATATGATTCCGATTTTACCCCAGTTTTCGATTTTATGTAAAATCCTGATTTTAACTGCTTTGGTCCTCATCAAGGAGTTTGTTCACGCATAGTAAGATGATAGTAACGTTCACTCATCTCCTTGTACTCTTCTTTATGCAATGAAGAACTAGAGTGCATCCCCCATTGATTTGTCTATAACGTTGCATTAGTTTGAGTAGGTTTACTTGGGGACACCGTCTTCTCTGATCGCAAGGAAGTTCGCGGCCGTGACTCATGGATCGAGACCGTGAAGTGAACCCGTAACTCCCAGTAACCGAAGATCAAAACGGCGATGCCTGAAGATCGCATTATGTAATAGATGAATATTATAAGGTTTTGAATTAATGTGTTTGTCTATTTGATTTTAATGCTTCTATAGCTTTAGTTAGGCTTGGATAAGTCACCCTAATCTTCTCTACTATCCTACTTGAGCTTCTATGTTGGGTATGGAATTTTAGGATTAGGCGGGTATGCGCCATCTGGCAGATTAGGGTAAGATGACTGAATTGGATCTTGTTGTGGGAGAGGCGATCATACCCCTGACATAAGAATGCCTTCCTAGATGGAACCTGAGATGAAACCTCAGGGTGGACGGTGAAAGGAGCTATGTTCATAAAGCCCCAGATACAATAGCCTAGATCGAGGTGACAGACATGGATTTAGGGGAGGCATACTCGGATGCGTGCGGATAATCACGAAAGCCCATGAAAAGAGCTCACTCACCACATTCACTTAAACCAACTTATTTAGACATTGCATGATAGACCTAGGCTAGGGTGAGGGACACTTCCCCGAAGTACCTATTTTTATCCTTGTTTATTCTCTCTACTAGTATTTCACTTGAATCCTCTAACACAAACCCCCTTAATCCGACCAGCTGGTGAACAACAATGTGGGAAGTAGGCTAAGGTACCGGGACCCGAGTGAATACTACATTGACTGCCACTATATGACAGCGCATTTTAGGTTAAACATGGCCTAGGACGGGGGTAATTATTGAGACGTTACAAACTACTAATAATGGCTTGCACGGAATGAGTCGATCATTAGCAAACGTCACGCAGAATCGCAAGCCCATGTCGGAGGCAACTGCCTTCGCAATGTGTGGGGAAGCATAAAATTCTTCTTTTAGAACCTATGGTCAGCGTGAACGTGGAACATTAGAGTGGGAGAAACCTTAGTGTATGCATTGTCTTAAGATCAGCTAGGTCCAAGAAATCTGTTTGGAGCTTATTGGATGGCCTCCTTGAGACAAGTAAGGCGACAGACCTAATCACCATCGCAACTTGGAGTCAGGTCGCGACGAGAGACCTGCTCGAAGCCAAAGTCGAAAGTCGAAGGCTGCCCAAGCTGAGATTAACCCAAGTCCCTTTTTGGTTACACTGTGCAGCAGTTGGAACAACTGAAGAAATTCTTTGGTGCCCATTTCAGGTGTTGCAGACCCTTGAAGTCACATGGCTGGTATGTTCTCCTTTCTTAATGCATCCAAATGGTCAATTGACTTGGGCTACAATGAACATATCACAATGGACGAGTCTTGTCTGCTTTTGCACTCTTCAGGTTGTCTGAGTCAGCTTATCTGATTACTGAATAGGGCCAGTATTCTTGTTAAATGAATTGGTTATGTTCAGCTAAATGATAGGCTTGTGCTTAGCGGCGTCTTACACTTTCCAGAGTTTCGCTTTAATTTGTAATCGTTAGTCAACTTTGTCAAGAACATAATGTTGCTTTGATATTTCTTGGTGATTTTTCCTTTTCATAGAATTGACGTAAGACTATGGTACTAAACTCAGAAACGTTATCGATTGAATGTGCTTTACTTGTTTGACAAATTGAGTTCGAACAAGATTACAAAAAATCTGTAGATACCTACCAACTTTATACTTCTACTTGATAAGGTAAATCCAAACACCATGACCAAAATCATCGATGATTGTCGAGAAATTATAAGCACCACTAAATGTGTGAGTATGATGACCTCGCCAAATATCCAGATTTAGAATTTAAAGTCTTTGTTCTGCACACTTCTTATACTGATATACCCCAATAAAATGGTATAGTGGAATGAAAGCACTGACATCTCTTGGAGCCCGCATGTGGTCTTCTTTAATTTCCAGTCGACTTTGTCCATCAAGTTTTGGGGCGAATGCATCCTTACGACTTCTGATTTGATTTAAGGGTGTTTTGATGCCTTGTCTACAACAAAGACACTCATGCTCTTCTTGGTAAGTTCACCGATTAGGGTCGTGCTTGTGTTTTTCTTGGTTATGAAACAAGTCAAAAGGGGTACAAGGCATACGGTCTTGTATCTCGTTGGATGTTAAGAAATAGAGATGTCATCTTCCTTTTTAGTCCACTACGTCCTAGTAGTAGCATTAGGTTCTTGGTTAAGTTTTTGAGCACCTGCCTGATGATCTTTAGTATGAGATTATCCTTCTTGATCACTCGGTTGCTACCTCTACTGGGTCTACCGCCCACTAGGTCCCCTTTTCGCCCAGAGCAGGAGCTCCACTCTATTTCCACAAAAGGGCTGTCATCTCCCGCACAATAGTCCAGTACGACCTCATCTATTGGGCTCCGCTCACATGGTCTCTGAGGCAATCAGCACACTCCCGTTGGCAGCTCTGATCCTTCCAGTCCTACACCTTCAACATCAAAACTCCCAAATGACAAGCCTTCTTTTGTAGATTCTTCTCCATCGATCATTCACGGTTTTTATCCGACATCACCTCCTCTTTCATGGCATCGTAGTGATCGCACTTGCTCTCATCCTATCATCTCAACATCTATTATGAGGGAAGTCATGTTAACTTTGTCCACTATCGTTTATCTCTGCATCTTTCCTATGATGATTTCTCGGCTAATTATCATGTGTTTCTTGCAGCAATGGCTCATCATCTGGAGCCCCATAGCTTTTATTAAGCAGTTAAGGAAGAGTATTAGCAATGCGCAATGGCAGCCGAGTTTAAAGCTCTAGAGAAGAATGTCACTTGGAATCTCGTGTTTCTTCCTCCGAGCAAGAGTTTCATTGAGTCAAAATGGGAATACAAGATAAAATTTTGTCCCGATGGTTCTATAGAACGTTACATGGCACGCTTGGTTTACAAAGGCTACACTTAACTGGAGGGTGTAAGCTTTCATGGCACATTTGCACCGGTGTAAAAACTGGTCACCGTTAGCTGTCTTGCGGTGGTAGTCAGCAAAGGATGACATATTCATCCACAGGTGATAATCGCGTTTGTTGGCTTCATAAGTCCCTCTGTGGTTTTCGTCAAGTATCGTGTAACTGGTACCACAAGTTTACCCAAACACTTTGTGAGTTGCAGTTTCACCTATCGTCCGATGACCTCATCTGTTTATCTTCTTGAATCCTATCCCATCCCGTGGTGAGCAGTGGCGCCCCTCTTTGTTGGAGCTTGGTGGACAGATTGGTGAATGGTGGTCATGGCCTCGTAGGGAGAAGAGAAGACGATGGTCGGTACCGGTAAACCAGATATTCGACGGTAATTAAAAGGGGGACAGGCGGTATGCCGATTAATAATTAATGGCTACCGATCACGGTTACTGCCGTTTGACGGTGTAACCTGTAACTGTCGGTAACACGATTAACCGGGTTACCGACTACCACCACTAGTACCCATGACCCAAATCGCCCAACACACTTCCGTTCGGTCTAGCATGGCACCAACAACCGCCAATCTTGCATAATCAAGGAAAAAATCCAAAACTACCACTGTTAAAAAAAATTACAAAAATACCATCCACTCCAAATAATTTGCAAAAATACCATCGTTTATATAAAACCGCGCCTCTAATGAGCGGTTTTTAATGAAGCCGCGCCTCAAGGCAGCGTTTTACAATATAACCGCGCCTCCAAGAGGTGTTTTTCATTTCCAGCAAAAACCGCTTCTGGAAGGCGCGGTTATAGGCTAACCCTACCACAAAACGCTTCAAGAGGGAGCGTTTAAATGTCGGCATTACAAACCGCCTCACCAAGCGGCGGTTTACAATGTCAGGACATAAACCGCTGCCCCAAGGCGCGGTTTGTGCCTGGTCACCTGACAGCAAACATGTCGGACATGTAGGCATGCAGGGGGTAGGCCTGCATGGCAGACCTAAAACCGCTCCCCCCCCCCCCCCCCCCCAAGCGGTTTTGCTGCAAAATTTGCCTATAAAAGGCTGTTTCAGATAACTCAATTCTTCACACTCCTCCTCTTCCTCCTTAAAATTTCAGCTTTGCACCTTTAAATTATTTAGTTTTTGCGATTAACGTTAATTCGTAAGTTTGTTTCGTAATTACTTTTTATTGTCCTTTGTGATTTTATGTTAGTAACTTAATTACTTTTCATTGTCCTTTGTGATTTTATGTTAGTAACTTAATTACTTTTCATTGTCATTTGTGATTTTATGTTAGTCACTTAATTACTTTTCATTGTCCTTTGTGATGTTATGTTAGTAACTTGTATTACTTTTCATTGTCATTTGTGATTTTATGTTAGTAACTTAATTACTTTTCATTGTCATTTGTGATTTTATGTTAGTAACTTAATTACTTTTCATTGTCCTTTGTGATGTTATGTTAGTAACCTGTATTACTTTTCATTGCAGATGGCATTCCAAAGGTTCACGCTTGGGTTGCGGTGGAATGGTTACACGAAAGAGACCGAAAAGGGTGTAAGTTACGTCGGTGGAAATTTTTATAAAATGAAGGTCCGTACTAGACCGATGCTTGAAGAGCTCCATCAAATGTGCACTCAGATTAACTGCATGGATGGCACTAGAAGAGTTGATCGAATGGTGTATCGATATCCAAACAGACATGACGGGTTGCTGTGGAATGAGGAATTCCTCCTTACCACTCAGGAGGATGTTGATGCCATGGTCCAATTTTTGACCACCAATAAAATTAAGCAAGCGGAGATGTTCGTTTACACCGAGGCCGTCGAAGGCAGTGTAGGTCATTCTGGAGATGGCCAAACATCTGGTATCCACGGTGGGAGTGTATTATACGAAGATCATCTCCACCAGGATTTCCAAGACTCGAGCTGGAGGCAGGAGTATCATCATGGAACTAGAGGAAGTCATCAATCCTTCCCTTCATATGAAGAAGAAGCTCAACAGGCGGATTACAACCAACAAGCAGGCTACCAGTACCCAGCCGAGTACAACTTCTATCAAAGCGGAGTTAGTTACCACAACTACCATTCTTCCATCTGATTATCAGCATGAAAGGCACCTTCACCTTCACTAGCTCCGTAATGGTAGTTGTGGTAACTAACACCGCTTTGATAGAAGTTGTACTCGGGTGGGTACTGGTAGCCTGCTTGTTGGTTGTAATCCGCCTGTTGAGCTTCTTCTTCATATGAAGGGAAGGATTGATGACTTCCTCCAGTTCATGAAGATACTCCTGCCTCCAGCTCGAGTCTTGGAAATCCTGGTGGGGATGATCTTCGTATAATACACTCCCACCGTGGATACCAAATGTTTGGCCATCTCCAGAATGACCTACACTGCCTTCGACGGCCTCGGTGTAAACGAACATCTCCGCTTGCTTAATTTTATTGGTGGTCAAAAATTGGACCATGGCATCAACGTCCTCCTGAGTGGTAAGGAGGAATTCCTCATATTAATCGGCAACCACATAAGCTTTACTCGAGAAAAGTCGTCTAAGAAAATGGATTCTTATTAATTGGTTTTCCCAAGATAATCCGGCTAAGGAGGGGTTTCCTCGAGGAAGGAATCGAGGAGTCATCTTTTTGAGGTAAGTGTAAATAGGGTAAAATCTCTGTCGTAGGTCCTTTAGTCTATACATTTCGTTAAAGTTATTAATTAGTTAATTTTTTGTAATGCGCGATATGTGTGTGAGGCATCCCACTGCCTATAAGGGTGGAGGCACGCGTTGTGCTATATATGAATGTATGGATATATGATTATATGAGTTGGTTAATGGTAAGATGAACCCCCGGGCAGTTGGGTCACTACTGGACGGCGAGACGTAACGCAGTGCCATTGCCGAGTTTGGGTATGCAACCGGACGACGAGACGTAACGCAGTTGGCACACTAGGGTAGGGACACCGGACGGCGAGACGTAGCACGGTGGTCCCTAGTGTTGGTGTCTATGGATTAAGAATATAAGTAAGAAAATTCTATGGATAAGATAGGAGTAGAGATCTATTATAGACTTTTTGATAGCAAAGTATAAAGGATGAAAGCGAGAACGGCTTTTGTCTAAGTCAAGAACCCGAATAATGTGTTTAGTAGAGAGTTTATTAGAGAAACGACCTTAGGAAGTAACGACAGACTGACCCCTTCTCACTCACCTGGTTGAGGATGGGTTAGCGGAAGTGGATCTCGAGAAGAAGTAAGATGAGGCGAGCGACCGTGCCAGTATTGATGAGATGTCAAGGAGCTTGGTGAAGATTTATAGTTAAAATTTGATAGTTATTATATGTTTATTATTATGAGTATATGTACTAGATATTCAAAGTTCAAGATTATGAGTTAAGTGTTTTAAGTGTTTGGATCATGATTGCCCAAGTGTTGGGGCTTTTCGTTTGAAATTCTTAAACAGTGTCATTTTGTTCATTTTAAAAACTGGTTTGGGTTGCTCCAGAGTAACCAGTTTGAGTTTTGAGTTTTGGTTAGATTTTCAAAAAGAATCGGGTTGTTTCATTTTGGTATCAGAGCCGACACTCCTTTGTTCGTTGGTCTCCAAGGAATACTGGAGTGACGATCTGCGTTTTTCAAGGGTTCGATTATTAAATGAAAGGAAAAAGGGAGTTTCAGTTAAAAGTTTGGCCAAACGAGTTGATGACTCGGTATTTGCACATGTTTTCCTCTTTGTTTCTTGATTGTTTGAGCTTTAATTATTGCGTCTTTGGCCTATTTTACGCTAGGTTGCGTTCCTTTGTCACATTTCATGTCCTAGCACATAAAGTGAAGCATAGGCGCAAGTTTCAAGTCAATCAGAGATCAATTGCCGATTCGGGAGAAGAAACTCGGGCATGACCTGAAGAAGAATGGATTTCTACCTCACTTTATGGACAAATAATCACGCAAGCTTGTTATGAAAATAAATAGGACGAGACTACGAGCGTCTGGGATCAAACGTCGACTAATTCGGAGTCCGGACGAGGGAGAAACGAAGCATTGAATATAAAGGAAAAAGTTTGGCAGTAAAAACACTGGCAGACTACCCTAAAAACACGGCCGTGTTTTAGCTTACACCCGCTGGTGTTTTTACTGCCGAGGGCGTGTCATGAGGGCTGTTGGGGGCAAAACACGGGCGCAAGTTTCAAGTCAATCCAGAATCGGGTTTTTGAGGCAGATTCAAGCCAAAGGAAAGAGAGAGCTGGGTTTTGGTTCTAGATCAGATTTTGGAGGATTTCTTCTCCATTGGAGCTCGGTAATCAAGTTTGGAGATGGAGATTGAAGATCTAGATAAGATTTCTGCAGTCTCTCTCTTCTCTATGGAGTAACTTCCCTTCACTTAGGTTTTGAGGAATGCTAGTTCCATGTGTTAGGATCTTTCTTGTATGAAGTTTTGGATGATATATTGTTTGATTATAATCGATTGAGGCATGATTTATTGAGTCAATTGAATCTTGATCAAATTCTCTTGAATTCTGCTTTAACCTATGATAGATAGAATCTGATTAGGTTAAGAGAGCTTCCTTGATTGATAGTGGTGAATTGGTTGTGCGAGAGTCAATCAATTCACTGCTTTGTACTGGAATTCATTCCAGTAGTGGAGATCTGTGTGAATCGCCTTAGCAGTCTATCCCGGTGAAGGCTAGTCGCCTGTCGGGTATTCTATCTAAGAGGGCTTGGTCAGCTTGAGAGATTCCAAGCTAATTTAGGATCTTTCGCAGTTTAATCAATAGTAGATCAACCAAAGGTAATTGAAACTTGGGCCTAATTGAGGAGCTAGGGGGAATCATACCTAAGTGAGTTCCGAACTTGTAATTAGTAGAGTAGTTAGTAGAGTAGTTTAGTAAATCAATCCTTAATCTAGTTTGCTAGATAATGAACTGAAGCTGAGTAATAATAACTCTAGAGACCAGTGGATTCGATATTTATTACTTGTGCCAATATACCGCAGTCCCTTTAATTGGTTACACTTGGCGCACGCTAAAACACAACACCTAACAACGACCAAGTGTAACCAATTAAAGGGACTGCAGTATAGTGGCACAAGTAATAAATATCGAATCCACGGGTCTCTAGAGTTACTATTACTCAGCTTCAGTTCATTATCTAGCAAACTAGATTAAGGATTGATTTACTAAACTACTCTACTAACTACTCTACTAATTACAAGTTGGGAACTCACTTAAGTATGATCTACTGTTGATTAAACTGCGAAAAATCCTAAATTAGATTGGAATCTCTTACGTTGACCAAGCCCTCTAAGACAGAATACCCGACAGGCGACTAGCCTTCACCGTGATAGACTGCTAAGGAGATTCACACAGATCTACACTACTGGAATGATTTCCAGTACAAAGTAGTGAATTGATTGACTCTCGCACAACCAATTCACCACTATCAATCAAGGAGCTCTCTTAACCTAATCAGATTCTATCTATCATATGTTAAAGCAGAAATCAAGAGAATTTATTCAAGAGTCAATTGACTCAATAAATCATGCCTCAATCGATTATAATCAAACAATATAGCATCCAAAACTTCATACAAGAAAGATCCTAACACATGGAACTAGGGTTTCTCAAAACCTAAGTGAAGGGAAGTTACTCCACAGAGAAGAGAGAGACTGTAGAAATCTGATCTAGATCTTCAATCTCCATCTCCAAGCTTGATTCTCGAGCTCCAATGGCGAAGAAATCCTCCAAAATAGCTCCAAGAATGTTCCCATGTCGCTCTCTATGTAACAGCCTACCCTGTACGTTTGCCTAATCATATTGTTCATATAATTGCAACAGAATTAATATCGGGTGTTACATTAATTATCAAAATTTACCCAAATAAAATTTCGACATGAATTACTCGCGTAATGGGCAAACAGTTCTTGCAACTTATCCTGCAAAATAACTCATCACAAACATATATACTCACAGCCATATGCATTGGCTTTTCATAGCCATAGTCACGCTTGTCATACTCCACAACTGCATACCATACTTATACATACCATGATCGTCACAACTTACACAGTTACACAACATATACACATATCATCAACTTTCCACACCTGTGGGTATCTCACACTACATCAGAAGCTAGTATGCACATGAAAAACGTTCTCAAAATATTTTTACAAAAAGGTGTTGATCACTGGCCAAAATCTCGAGTAGTCATCCAAGCATAGAATAGTTGAAGATCATACCTCATCCTGGCTTCAACTCTAGCTCCTCTCCCACCTAACACTTATCTAATGTTGCTGCTGATGATCTGCTTACACATAGCATAAGCAGAGAAGAAGAATAAAAGAGGGTCAGCTCATAGCTGAGTGAGATAATCATAGCATCGTGAGTTCATAACAGAGCATACTCCTATCATACATCTAACAATCAAGCCAAAACATTAGGATTGGACCTCGGCCATCCTCATATCCCAATAGGCAAAAGACTCAACCACCTTGACTTATGCATATGCATCTTATCATGTTTTAATCATAGGCACCTGGCTACTCCCATGCTAATTACACTCCTGGGAATATGGACCAAACATCTCGTTGATGTGGTCATATTGGACTCACCACTGTCGGTGTATTCATATCGCACCTAACACCACTCTAGGTGTGGTCATATCAGACTCAACACAACTCTGGGTGTGGTCATATCTCATGATGAATCAACGGTCAACACCACATCGGGGGTGTGACATAACATATCATAACGGAGTAGTAGCATGGGGAGCCCTAATTACTATGTAATTGACCATGAGACCAAAGTACTCTTACTTGGTATCCTTATACATGATCCATATCTCATCTTGCAAAATCATAATTCGTCACTTGCACATGTACTTGACCTGGCCACAATTGACTCAACATAGGTAAATCAGGAGTCGTATAATTGCACTTCCTCGGGATAAACCCTCGTGCAAGTCATCCTCCTTAAACATCATAATATCACCAGGGAATATATATTTTCCCACATGTTCATCCAAATACAACAATCATGAAAAATCATATCCAATCACCTTTTCGAACCATCATAAGGCATATCAACAGTCAAGCCCACAATTTGCAACATATACGAAATCATCAGTATAAACAAGGTCCATCTCGATTAGGGCAAGTCAATAATATCATACTGTAGTCCATGGTTCATCGTATAGCACAAAAGTTCATACACCCTTAATCATGGCATTGTAGTTCACCTAGGTCAATTCTAAGCATCAATATAATTATCGTGATACGACAAACCCGGTATGCTGTGCTAATCCGTCATCAGTTCTGGTCGTTCAAACACCGGTTTAACCTTCCCGTACTAAAACATCAATTTCACGAACGAACCCCGAATTAAAATCCGAGACCGTCCTAATATCCCCTGCAGTATCCCTGTTAATATTAGTTCTAGGCTCTGGGTTAAATTCTTGATAAAAACACATCAAACCCTGGTCCGGAGCTAAATTCAGCGATCCCGGCTCCAACCTAAATAATAGCAGAAATTCATGGATTAAAACTAGAGGATTGATTACCTCGCTGCAGGAAGCTCGTATA